ATTTTATTATAAGTTATTATACTCTTATGGTTATTGCTCTGTTTATATAGTATTTTAGTTGCTTAAATGTAAGTACGCACAAATAGCTAAATGTATATAAAATTATAAGTATTTATAATAGGAATTAGTTATATATATATATATATATATATATATATATATATATATATATTTAAAGTTGCAAATGCTTTTATCATTTTCAAGCAATGTTTATCATAACTCGTTGAAGCGATTTTATTTCAAAGAATAAATATGATCTTTTATAAAAATTGAGGAAAAACTAAGTTATTTAAACTGTGTTATTTTTTCTTCAATTTTTCCAAAGTTCTACCGATTTATTCTTTATGTTAAATGCTGCTATAAGCTGTACTATAACTATAAACTATATAATTTTGTATAGCTGCCCTTTATAGTATATATAAATATACAGTGATACAGTTGGTGGTATCATTAATCGATTCGATATCAACAACTAATCAGAGTCTTCGAAGGTCTTGGAAGATCTCTTGAGGAGGCCCTTGAAGAATCTTTATAAAGATTTTTTTAAAGAAAATCTTGAAGAAAGTTTAATAGTCTTTCAGGGTCTTTCAGAGCGTTGAAGCATCAGTTGAAAATATTGAAGAATGATTCGAGAATCAAGAAGAATTCTTTCAGAATCTTGCAAAATTTTTTAGTCCCATGGGATCTCTGTGATTCAGAGCCTTGAACGATTTTTGAGTCTTGAAATTTTTTATATTTGAGCATTTTTGGTGTCTTTGAAGAATCTTTAAGAGTCTTGTAAAATTTTAGAATGTTTTCAGAATTTTTGAGAGTTTCTGAGAGTCTTGGAGGATCTTTTGGGTGTTTTGGAGGATCTTTTGAAAGTCTTTGTGGAATTTTTGAGGGTCTTTGAAAATTTTCTGGAGTTTTCAAGGATCATATGAGGGTCTTGGAAAATCTTCAAAAGTCTTGTAGGATATTCTAGAGTTCTGAAGTTTTTTTAAAGTCTTGAAAATTCTTCAAAAGCCTTGGATTATCTTAGGGAATCTTCTAGAGTCTTGTAGTTTCTTCTGAAGTCTTGGAGGTTTTTCTAGAGTCTTGGAGGTTCTTCTAGAATCTTGTAGGATCTCTAAGAGTCTTGGAGGTTTTTCAAAAGTCTTGGAGTATCTTAGGGAATCTTGTAGGATATTTAGAGTCTTGTAGGATCTTCTATAGTCTTGGAGTTTTTTTTTCTAAAGTCTTGGAGTTTCTTCTAGATTCTTGGAGGTTCTTCTAGAATCTTGTAGGATCTTTTAGAGTTTTGGAGCTTTTTTCTAGAGCCTTGGAGGTTTTCAAAAGTCTTGGAGTATTTTATGGAATCTTATAGGATCTTCTAGAGTCTTGTAGGATTTCTAGAGTTTGGAATTTTTTCTAGAGTCTTGGAGGTTCTTTAAAAGTTTTGGAGGAATCTGTTGAGAGTCTTAGAGGTTCTTCAAGAGTCTTGAGGATTTTTGAGTCTTGGAGTATGCTGAGAGTCTTGAATGATCTTCTAGAGTTCTGGAGGTTCTTTTAGAATTTTGAATCTTTTTAAAAGTCTTGGAGAGTCTTTTAAAGCCTTGGAAGATCTACTAGAGTCTTAGAGGTTTTTTAGAGCCTAGGAGGGATGTCTTAGAGTCTTGGAGAATCTTTTAGATTCCTAGAGTCTTGAGACTGGCATGGAGATTTTTTAGAGTCTTGGAGGACCTTTTAAGTTTTTAAAGATCTTCTGGAGTCTCAAAAATCTCTGAGCTTGGAGGATTCTTGGGAAATTTTTTGAGAGTCTTGTAGGATCTTGTAGATTGTGAAGACCTTCTGGGGTCTTTTAAAGTCTTCTTGAAGCTTGGAGGATCTTCTAGGGTCTTGGAAGGTCTTCTAGAGTCTTGGAGGATCTTTCTAGATTCTTGGGAATTTTTTTGAGAGTCTTTTAGGATCTTTGTAGAGTTTTGAAGATCTTTTGGAGTCTTTAAAGATCTTTTTGAACCTTGGAGGATCTTCTAGGGTCTTGGAGGATCTTTAGAGTCTTGGAGAATCTTTCTAGATTCTTGGGAAATTTTTTGAGAGTCTTTTAGGATCTTGTAGAGTTTTTGAAGATCTTTTGGAGTCTTTAAAGATCTTCTTGAATCTTAGAGGATTTCTAGGGTCTTGAAGATCTTTTAGAGTCTTGGAGGATCTTTCTAGATTCTTGGGAATCTTTGGAGAGTCTTTTAGGATCTTGTAGAGTTTTTGAAGATCTTTTGGAGTCTTAAAGATCTTCTTGAACCTTGGAGGATCTTCTAGGGTCTTGGAAGATCTTTTAGAGTCTTGGAGGATCTTTCTAGATTTGGGAAATGGGAAATCTTTGGAGAGTCTTTCAGGATCTTGTAGAGCTTTTGAAGATCTTCTGGAGTCTTTAAAGTCAGTCTTGAATGATCTTTCTAGATTCTGGGAAATCTTTGAGTCTTGGAAGGATCTTCTAGAGTCTTTGAAAAATCTTCTAAACCTTCAAAAGAAATATACTTATGAAAATCAACAAAAAACAATACTTTCACCACCAGCAAAAGTATTAATTTTATATTTTGCAAATTCGCTTATTCTTTCATCAATATTGTATAGAATAATATTAACTAACATATTATCGATATGAAAAATCCTTGTGCTTTCCAAAATTTGGTGGTATGAATTTTTCAACGAGTGCAGACCAATGTTCTTAATAAATAATATTTTGTACAAATATATTTATATATTAATTATTAACTATATTAGCTCTCGTAGTACTGCTAAGGTGTGAAAATCAGAAATTGGAAATTGAAACGAAATGTTATGTAATTGTTTGATAAATGTTAATGGTAATATTTAGGTTTATTTAATCTGATTTATAAATATATATATATATATATATATATATATATTGCTTTGTATAAATCCAATGGTTATTAATATCATAAGTATTTATATTATCTGTACCTACTATTATAAAATGGGTTGATGTCTATTATTTTTATGGAGTTTTTATACACACACAAACACACACTATATATAAATATAAATATAAAGTAAGTTAAACAAATTAACAATTAGAAAATTAAAAAGCAGTATTTCTTCATTTAAGGGTTATATGTGTAAGCGAAAATGAATGTATCTGTTGTAACCAAAGAAATATATGAATATATTATATCTATATAAAAAATAATGGACTGTTTATATATATAATATATATATATATATATATAAATATTATGTAAGACCCTTTGATAAGTAATGACTTGAGATTAATACATATGTCTTGAGTTTAATATCGAAGGAATATTAATTTACAGGACATGATGATGTAAAAACCATGGATTAATTTGATAACGTCAAATTGAGAAAAATGTCTTTAGGTAAATACGATTTGCTTTTACTTTATTTATATAAATACAAAAATATATTTAACACATTAAACCATATACATTTTAGGGATATCAACAGCAACTAATAATTATTTATATCTATTTGAAGTGCGGAGGTAGTAGTATATATAGAATGTATAGTATTTATATTATTTGTTCTATAATACTTCATCGTGGGCACATGGCATGTCTGCCTCCATCAACTGGTAACGAAGCACAGTAATAAAGCTGCTGTGCTCGCTTGCAAGAAACGCAATGGCATTGGATACTTCACTTACTTGTCCTGGACGTCCTAAGGCGTGAGTGAGTGTTTGCAATGTTCTAAAAATAAATTATATTAATATATATATATA